AATCCACTTGCTTCCAACAGGGGGATGCTGATTCTGCTTTTGATATTATCAGATCATTCGAGTTTACGTTTATTTTGCATTTGGTGAAAGATATTATGAGAGCAAGTAATATCCTTTGCGAAGCTTTGCAACAAAAATCTCAAGACATCCTAAATGCTATGCATTTGGTTTTGACTACTAAAAACATCATTCTAAAATTGAGAGAAGATGTATGGAACAACCTAATTGGGGCTATTAAATCATTTTGTGAGCATCAAAACATAGATGTGCTTGATATGAGTGCTCCTTATACAAAAGGTAAGGGTCGACCACGTCACACCCACAAGAAAATATTACACTTGAGCACCACTATCAAATTAATATATTCAATGGCACAATTGATTCACAGTTGAAGGAGTTGAATAGCAGATTTAGTGTAAAGGCAGTGGAACTAATTGTCCTAATTAAGTTCAGCTTTGGATCCTAGAGATGGTTACAAGTTATTTAAAATTGATGACATTTGGAAGCTTGCTAATAATTTTTATCCTCAAGATTTTACAAACCAAGATAGGATTATGTTGAGATTTCAATTGCAACATTATGATATTGAAGTACCTCGCCATCCACATTTTCGAAATATATCAACAACTTCTGAACTATGTAGAGGATTAATGGAAACAAAGAAATCAGATGTGTATTATTTGATTGATAGATTGATTCGTCTTGTCTTGACTTTTTCAATTTCTACGACAACTACAGAAAGGCCATTTTCAACTATGAAAAATGTCAAAACCAAACTTCGCAACAAGATGGAGGACGAGTTTCTTACAGATTACTTGAATATCAATATTGAAAAAGAAATTAATGAGACTTTTAGTTCAGATTCGATAATAGATGATTTTTGTTCTTTGTAAGATCGTCAAGCTCAGCTTTTGCAGTAGATATTTGGTATGTTTGGTTTATTTTTGTTCATATCTATGTCATATTTGACTATATATAGCCCTTTTTTTTTTGTAACAAATTGGCTATATTTTTGTATGAACTCTATTTATAATAGAAAGTTTTTGGCTTAAAATAGTCATATATTATATGGTAATATTGCTAATAGTTCCCCCCCTCCCCCCCCCAATAGAATCCTGGCTTTGCCCCTGCCCGTCCCGCTAACAGAAGAGTAGAAAAAACAAAAGCGTTTAATAAATTATAAAATAAGTATAATGTGTGTGTGTGTGTGTGTGTGTGTGTGCGCGCGCGCGCGCGCGTGTGTAAGTATAAAAAAGGGAGAAGAAGAAGAAGAAGAAGAATAGATCAAAGAAATGAATCCCTAGAGATGATCATGAGATTAGGAGAAGAGAGTGTTTCAGAGTATTAAAGCTATATACCACTAATTACTACACAAATAATCCTTTGAAAAAGAAGCCATGATAGAGAGGGAATATGATGAAATTTGTATTTCCTAGTTCGTGCTTACTACAGTAGTATTCAAGCTATTAAAGAAGATGGTATATGCATGATACAAGAAGCCCAATACTTGTGAACTATTATAACCCCTCCAAAGAACCTAAATAAGAATGAGGAAGACTTAGAGACTCCATGAGTACGTGGATCTCTCTGCCTCTGCCTGAGTCGTCGATCTCCACCAGAAGGGTATGAAAAATGGTGTCCAGTGATGCACCGCTCACTAGTGAGGGAGAGAGGGATTGAGGCCTCGAGGGATTGGTTTTGACTCTCTATGTCTTCCCTTAATGCGCCACTCACTATGATATCAATTCAGTTCACATGTCACTCCTTAAAGCTTAAGAAATTAGGGTTGTAACTAAGCTATTGTGTAAGAGGTGGGTAACTAGGTAAGCTGGTAAAGCCTAAAGAGATAAGTTATTAATATTATATAAAGCCTAAAGAAATAAGTTATTAATATTATATATATATATATATATATATTAAATAGAGTTATATGTTTAGCGGGGCAGGGCGGGGTCTCGGATATGTATAAGAACCTGCCCTCGCCTTATGACCCGTGACGGGTACAAAATTTGTATCCATGCCCTTCTCAATGGTATAAAAGTTATTCCTATATACGTTCTTAACGGGGCAGTAAAAATCACCACCCTTAGTCATTGTATATGCTTACCTTCTTCAATAAATTGACTTACCATTCAAAAAAAAAAAAAAATGATAGTTATGAAATACTAATTAATGATGGATTATTATTTTTAATTTATTTTTCAAAAGCGTCAGAAGAATTATTTCTTCCACATATCTCACCCTCAGATGATTGAGCCTCTCTACTTTATTATAATTGTTTTCAGGTAATTAAGTTTCTTAATCAGGTGAAAGGTGCAAAAAATAGGGATTATTATATATACATGTTTCCAAAAAATAGGGATTACCAAAATAATGACGTTAACGTACAAAACATTGTTTCTTTACCCAAACTACCCTTACTAATTTAGTATCAGTTTTATACATGTAAGTTCGTAACAGTTTTCTACAGAAAAGTATCACTCTTCACTCTTATGCACAGAGAGTTGGTCGGGCCTGTTTTGTTTTGGGCCTTACGACTTCTGGCTTGTACTCTTTTCATTACCCAATTTATACAAATTAATCCTCCCAAAAAAAATATTGATTCAGATTTTGGAGAAGGTAGGGTTTTCTTAATCGAACCAACGTTATTCAACTGGATTCATATAGAAAGTTTTGATACAATAAGACTGAAAAAAAAAAAAAGAAGAAGAAAAACCACTTGGCTAAATAATTAGTTGCAACAAAAGTCGCGAATTTAGTTCGGTGATGTTTATCATTACCTATTTATACTTTATTCTTGTCAAGCACGTCAAACTATATAAACCCTAGTCCCTAGCGGACTAGAATTCCCACATAAGTTGAAATTAGTACTTTCCTTAAAGATAAAGTAAAAAATAAAAACTTGTATGTATATATATATATATATATCCACACACAATTCAGGCAATCATGTTACGGAAACCCAAAAATTGCTACAACAATGGAGAAGAGGGCAAAGATTGATGGGTCTTCGGTTCCTGTGGGGAAGAGGGCAAAGATTGATGGGTCTTCAGTTCCGCGGGAGATCATGTGGTCTTCTGTTCCTCAGGAAATTATGTTGGAGATACTAAAGCAAATTCCTGTGAAAACCGTGCTAAGAATGAGATGTGTTTTTTAAGTTCTGGTGCACCATGATTGACCATCCATATTTCATTCGTTTGCACCATAATCACTCCCGTACAAAGCCTGGTTGTGTCAGCTTAATACTTATGGATGAACGTCGTGATGGTAATTATGACCTTTACCATGTAAATCCAGAAGGGGGTCCACCCTTACGCTTTCTAAAAGTGCCCTACCGGTGCGTTAAATATTATGGCGATTATTATGAATATGAACATGAGAAAAAAGAAACTTTACAGTCCGTTAACGGCTTAATTTGTATCCAAAACCGTATATGGAATCCTAGTACAAGACAACGCATATCCATCCCACCAAGGAAGATGAGTACAACAACTTTCCTAGACGCTGAGGTAGAAGAGTTACCACGCTGTGAACTGAGATTTTATTCGACATACATGTTAGGGTTCGATCCTTCTTCAGACGAGTACAAAATCCTTAATAAAGTTATGATTCGTAGCGTAAGAGGGGGTGATAAGAATGTCTGTTGGAGTACAAGATTTTGACTATTGGTACAAACTTGTGGAGAGATATTGAATCCGTACCGCATCAATCACGGTATAAATCGGATCAAATTTGTTGCACATTAGGAATGAGACTGTTATACTTGCTTTGAATTGAAATACGAGAAGTTCCAAATCATACCACTTCCTCAACATGTTGATTGTTAGAAGTGGGAGAACGTTTGGCTCTGATATGTATAGATAGTTAGGCAGTGGGCAGGATCTATATTTTAGAAGATTACAAAAAGATGGTTTGGAAGACTCAGGATTTTTATCTTTCCAGATTATTTGAAACGTAAAGATGGTACTGATGATATGGTTGATAAGTTGATACATAATTTTCTCCCCATTGGTACCATTCATACAGATGAGATTTTACTGTTGATGGAGGATCGAGTACCAAGATTCTTTTATTATGATCTAAAAAGTGAAAGGGGGCCGCCGATGGGATTTCAAACTTACCAGAACACATATATGGATAAGGGTGGCAATTCGTGTTCGTGGGTCGTGTTCGTGTCGTGTCGATATAAGGGTATTATACTAAATAGGTAAATCCAAACCCAACCCATTTAATAATCGTGTCAAGAATCTCAACACTAACACAACCTGTTTATTAAACAAATAATCATGTTAATCCGTTTAATGACCTGTTTATTAAAACGAGACATTTAATATTTAATCAAATACTAAATAATAGAAACAAATTGTCATAATTAACCCAAATATTCAAAATAAAAAGAAAAATTATAAGGCATAGACAAATTTTATGTTGAAATGACTTAACTATCTATAGTAATTAGGTAACATATTGCATAGGTTATATTCACGATTATAACATGTTAAGTTAAATGGGTCATAAACGGGTTACACGGGTTGAACCCCTCAACCCTAACCCGACACAGTTAAGTAAACGGGTTAATCGTATCGACCCTTTTATAACCCAAACCCGTTTATGCTAAACCCAAACCCTTTTAACTCGTGTCGTGTTCGTGTCGGAATGTCGTGTCGTGTCATAATTTGCCACCCCTATATATGGACATAACATCTGCTGCACCAAACATGTGGAGAGCTTATTCCGATATTGAAATATTGTAAAATTATACTTAGTTATTTTCTTTATTTAATTATTTTTATTTTTTTATGGTTATTCTCAATTTTCAATCTTCAATGAAATTGTGATTCAAAATCTCTTATCTGTTTTGAACAGATGCATGTTTAGTAGTTTATGTTCGCGACACAGCATTTTAAATTGGCCTAACCCCACCAATAATGGACCAGATAGGCTGATAGTATGTGTTATAAACCAGTTAATAAGCAGCAGTAGCTTCTATTTAACCACCTTCGACAGCTTAATTTGCAGGAAAATGAGTACATAGTTCATGTTGGACTTAGACATGCCTCAATGGTCTTTCAGCAAGACTTACACATTCATTAAACCTAAAACAATCCACAAGATGATCAATTGTCATTCCTGCAGCTTGCATGAATGAGTAGACAATGACCGGACCCACAAACCGGAATCCACGCTTCAGTAAGTCTTTGCTGATGGCCTCTGCCTTCGGAGTCCTCAGAGGTACATTTCTCGGGTATCTGTATTTGTTTATTATTGGTTTGGAATTCACATAACCCCACATATAGCTACTGAAAGATCCAAATTCCCTTACGATCTACACTTGGTTCAAAAATAAGTGGAATGAGCAATTTAATGCTGCATGTCACCATGAAACCTCAAGAGAGAGCAACCAAAAAAAAATTTAATTGGTGAAGACATACTCAAAACTTGCCTTTAGTATGCATTTGGCATTGTCTACTATGCACCTGACTCTGCTCTCTGCTAACATTATTTCTTTGTTGGAAACTATCTCCGTGATCTTCTTCTCCCCCATTTCGGCAACAATGTTGGCATCAAATCCAGCAAAAGCTTCTCTATGTTATCACCCAAAACATATGCTTGAACTACATATATAGCTTATTTATTGTAATATGACATTCGATCTAACGCAAGAAACCAAATTTTTTTTATTGAAGTTGAACAGTGGAAATATATATATATATATATATACCTGAAGACTTTCTTTCTTTTTAAAATTTCAGTCCAGTTGTAATCCATCAACATACCAGACATTGCAAGAAGCTCAAACAGTTGACTGTTCAATACACATTATTTTCAGTTAATTAAATTAGTTAAAACTGTCAACCATAATTACTAGATGAACTAAAACGAAAACCTCGAATGGCTTACTTGTCATCATAAGCTGGAACTCCCCAGCGCTCATCATGGAACTGTACATAAACTTTATCTGCAAAAAGATGAAATCAATCTATTGTTTCTCATTCAGTTAAAAATTTCCTCCCTAGTTTCATATTGTACTAAACAAACTGTATATTAGTGTCATTATTAGCATTTCTGCTGAAGTATAAATAGCAGTTGTAACTACCATTAAAAACCATGTTTAAATGAGAAGTATGCTGTTGGACTATAACCACCAAGTAGTAGTAGAATCTTCCTGAGTTCTATCATCTTTTAAGCAAGTTTGACTTTTTATTACTTTGAATTTCTCTTTTTTGCTTATCATTTTCCTGAATACTTAAAGGCAGGAAATATATTCCAAAATAGATGCTTGCAATAGCTTTGTCACTTGGAAAATTTACATTCTATTTGGTTCAGTTTTCGGTTTTCTATTTTCTATTTTCTAGATAACTGAAAATTCGAAAATTGTATCCCTTATTAGTTGTCCATCTTTGATTTTGTAACTTTTTAAGGGGACATGCAATTAATGCATTGTCCCCTTTTAAAATTATCAAATTATCCTTTTTGATTTTTTAAAGAGGACAATTAATTTGAGACATGTAAAAAGAGAAAAATTAAGTACTAATAAGGGACGGAGGGAGTATCTGCTTGGTTGACTACTTCTAAAATTATGTTATGAAAAGTCAATTAAAAAAGTCTCTTATCTATATCTATAATTTTTTGAAAACAATTTTATATTCTATGAGTTCTTAAGAACAATAAATTTTCTAAATGACAAACCAAACAAGCCCTTGTTCACTTAGCCATGCATGGACTCAAATTCTAAAGAAACAAAAAATATCAAGGTGGTTTGTTGGTGGCGTATGTATTTTGTCACTTGGTCCTATTATGAACTAAATCATACAATATCAAAGTTCTAGAATTCAAGTTTAGTATTCTACTGCAGACCTTAGCGCAGCATGCTGAATTTACAATATATTCTTTAAAATAAACCAAATTATTTGAATTTCAATATTGTACTATAAGCTTACCACTATTCTTTGTAATCCAATTACATCTTCTCAAGCCTTCTCCACTGCAATTTGAACCATGTGTGTGTTGGACATTTTTACCCACTGGGACTTCTCTTCTTTCAGGTGGTGCAAGACGACGGAGTGCTAATGAGATCCTTTGATCCAGCGGAGAAGAAGAATCCGTGAGAGACGAGTCGATAGAGTTTTGTGACAAAGACAGTGATAATGAAGACAGGGATAGAGGTGAATTGCTCTTGTGGAGCCTAATTGGGTAAAAACTCTTCAGGTGTTTGGATAAAAAGTAGTGGTCTGGCTTCTCTCTTGCTCTTGGACTTCTGTTCTTCTCCAGAACATCTCCTCTTACATTTTCTTTAGACATGCTTGAGAAGAAAAGAAAGTCCTTTGCCTTAATTGGGTAGATGTAAAGATGGGTTGATATTTATAAAGATTGGGTTTCCAAATGATTGGATGTCAAAAAGGGAAATGGAAGTTGGTTGGTGAAATGTGAATTTCATTATAGACTACCCTATGCACCTAATTATTTTATAAGCAAAATAATAAGAAGTAGTAGATTGGATTTGAAATTATTTTTTGAATAGGATTCAAAGGAATCTGTATATATAGGTTTTTTGAATCAGAATTGCCAAAGGCTCAAATTTCTGAAATGTCCAAAAAAAAAAAAAAAAAAAATTATTTAGACATAAGCTTAGGTTACAAAAAGGATTTAGTTTGTAGAAATGCACTGCACGCATTAGTTAGTATCAGATGGGGAAAAAAAAATTAAAAAATTGAATCTAATCAGTTGAATAAAACAAATTGACTTCCTAATTACCTATATTATTATGCAGATTAGGACAAAGATTTATATTATTCCTATAGTTAATTGAATTCTTGAGTCATTACCTGTCTTATTTTATCTATAGGGAATCTGAGTGATTCCTACTTCTGTGCAAGCCGTGTTGAACGACAATCATCATCCATTTGGTCAAATAACTAATATTTTTTTGTTTTTTTTCATTAATCCACATGTTAGAATTCTTAAAATTGAGACGAATATTGACTTGGCCTAGCTTTACATTCCACCTGAGTTAAAAGTATTAAAAGGAAGGGGGAAAAAATAGTTACTAAAATACAAATTAATGATGTATTAAATTTATTTTTCCCAAAAATTATTTCTTCCAAATATCTTGCCCTATGATATATGATTAAGTCTTTCTACTTTATTTTACTTAATTTTGGGTGACCAAATAAGGTGCAGTTTTGCTCTTGATGTTAAGGGTTTAGTACTTTGACTCACATTTGTAGCTGTGGTGTTTGTCTCAATGCAAGTGCAAAGGGTCCATTTCTAAACTTGTGCCCTACTCATATCCTTTGAGGTGTTGAGGCAAACCAATTGCCTGCAAAGACAGAGATATGCCATCCCTTTGTAAAAGATGAGCCTGTGGTACCTAAAATGAAGTCCAATACGAGCATGCCATTGTAAATTGATGATGACTAAGTTTGCACTCACAATTTGTCTTTCATGTAAAATAAGGCCTTAGTGCATTAAACCTCTCTCTGGTTTCAAAATGTTGCAAAATAACCCCCTCATTTTGCAATAAATGCCCACATTTTACCACCGGTTGCAAATTATTTCTATTTGACTAACTGTGGACAAACGGGGAGTTAAGATATGATGCAAAATGACACAAAACGTACCCCAAAGATCCATTGTCCGCACAAAATGGCAAAGTTTAGTCCGAATCTTACGTGGCATCTGATTTGACTGCCATGTCATGTCTAAGAAAAAAACCCAGAAACCTTTTCTCTCTTCATTCTCTTTGCTACCTCTTCATGTTCGCTTCTACCTCCCTTTCTTCCCTAGCTCCTATCTTCATCTCTCTATTTTTGCCTGTTTCCTATTCTTTCTTTTTTTTTCTTTTTTTTCTTTTTTTTTTCTGTAAATGAATAAATTATTTAAAAAGAGACGAGAAAACATTTTGAAAGTGGAGCTTTTTCCTTCAAATGTACGTTTATTTCTCTACTTCCAAATGAAAGTAGATACAGCTAGCAAGGCATAGTTTTAATGTCATTACCAATGGGGACTTAGAATCAGGAGACCAAACAGAAGTAATTTGGTCAACAACGGTGTTGAGTTCAGTCCCAGTCCATAAGAACTTCCTCAGGATGTTGTTGATCTGTTGAACAACCTGGAGAGACAAGATAAGATGACGCACTACTCCAGTAACTCTGCATGCTGATTAGGATGGGTTTGATAAGTTGAAGCCTTCCAGCATAAGAAAGGAACCTAATACTCCAATTGCTCACCTTAGCTGTAATTCTTTCAACTAGCATTCTACAATCATTTTCTTGAGGTCTATATGACCTAAGGGGAAGATGCACCCAATTAAATACATAATAGGTAATTGACCATTAGCAAAGCCACAAATTCTCACCATTTCACTATGCACATCTGAAGTAACATTAGATGTGATAATGATACTCTAGCTTTGACAAATTTGGGGTAAGATCGACCAGACAGAGAAGAGAAAACATTGAGTGCCTCAATGAGAGAAGAGAGGGAATTGCAGTCTCCATTGCAAAACAAGCATCAAGTTATCCGCAAAACAAATGTGAGAAATTTTGTTTGTTTTTACACCTCCAATGTTAAATGAAGGAAGGGTTATTTTCAATTTTTCTTGCAATGATGAATGATAGCACATCCATAACAATAACAAACAGAAAAGGTGAGATGGGTTCAACTTGTCTTTAGCCTATGGTACCCTTAAAGTAACCATATAATTCTCCATTAATATTCATAGCAACAGAGAATGCAGGACTTGTGATACAGGCTTCCACCTATAAAGAATGGAGGGAAGTTGAGGATTCTCAGTGTATCAATCAAGAAAGGCCAACTAACAGTATCATATGCCTGTTGAATATCAACTTTCAGAGTGCACTTGGGTATAGGACTCCTTGAGAAGTAGAGATGAGCTCCTTGAGAAGTTGTCCATTAGTAAAGAACTCTCTAACAGCCTTGGTTTCTCAAATTTTCGCTTGCTTCAATAATTTATTTTAAGTTCCTTATCTACGGAATTTTGTGTAACTTTACATCATATCTTAACTCCAGATATTTCTTTGTTAGCCAAATGGAAGTAATTTACTATATTTGATAAATTGTGGGTGTTTGTTGCGTCAGAAAAAACGAGGGGATATTGTAACCTTTTGAAACCAAGGGAATTTAGTGCACTAAAGCTGTAAAATAAACATCCACAAATTAATTTGAGGAAAGAAACCAAGAACAAGGATGCGCCTAAAACTATGGCTTATAAGCTAACCTTCATTAAGTGCAAAAATTAGCAAATTTTAGTAATTCATATATGTTTTTATATTGTTACGGCTTCAAATAAATAAATAAATAAAATAAAATAAATAATCACTCTTATCGTGTGAGCGTTAGTCTTTCACGTGTCAATAAACAAAAACATAATATACCCAACAAGTAAACAAATAACACAGTTTAAATAAAAAGTAAACCGATAAATGTATCTATTCTTAATTCTTAATGGTATTGATTTGATAGTGAAATTTGTAATTTTATTAAACACCAGAGCAGGATTTAGTTTCAAGAAATTATATAGCCATATGTATATTACAAAAAATAATAATAAAAAATAAAATAAAAATCATTCCCAAGTTATTTTTGAAGGAAAAATAAATCCTAAGGAGACACAAAGTAATATTTTGTATTATACCAATATATGTAATAAATTTAATGGGCCAGCTTGCCCCAGGGTAGGGGGATACCTACTCCCCTTGGGCCCAAGCTAGTTCCTTCTCTGATCGCCTCACATTTTTTCGAAGCCAAAAAGATTCTTTATTATTCCGTTTGATTTTTTGTAATTTACCAAGATTGTTATTCTAATTATTACTAAGTAAGCAAGACTCATGTGTCAACCTAGTTAGTAAAGTGTTCGACCCTCCGAAGGACGTGCATGTGTTCAAGTGTCTCATCCCTTAGTTTGCTAGGATAAAAATAATAAATAGAATAAAAAGTAAGCAGTCACATGTAGGAGACCAAGACCCAGAAAGCTGAGACAATAGCAGCCAAGCCCAATTGGACTAGAAAACACAAATTTACAAATTGCAACATTTTCAACAGATGAGGTGGCAACTTTTGTAGGGGATAACTTTAAAAAAATTGCGTAGTATAACAAGCAAAACTGTTACAACAACCAACCATCCACTCTCTTTCTAATGAACAAGTTTTTCCACTTTGAGTTGGACCAACTCTCTCACAAGCTCAACCAAGTCCCTTTTTGAGCTCCCACTACCCTTGACTGCTTCCACTGCTTTATCTCTCAGCTGCTTTGTTTTTTCCTTTTCAATTATGCTCCCACCCATTGACTTCGAAATTATCCGAGCCAACTCGGCCGAGTCAGGCACCTTATCTGCACCCTCACAGACTCGGACCGCAGCCCTCAAGTCCTCCACCAATAGTCTAGCATTCACATATTGGTCTGCCTCCATGGGCCAGCCCAGTATCATCACACCCGCCACTATTCCCTCCAACACCGAGTTCCACCCGCAGTGACTCACAAACCCGCCCACGGCTCGGTGACTCAGTATCGCCACCTGTGGAGCCCACCCCTTTATCACCATACCCCTCCCGGATACCCGTTCCTCAAACCCATCCGGCAAGGATCCATACCCGTCTGCCACTTGTTGGGCCGTTGGCGGTTTTATAACCCAAACAAACCGGATCCCACTCCATTCAAGCCCAGACGCCAGGGCCTCTATTTGGGCCTTCTTCAAAAACTTCTGACTACCAAAGCACACATACAAAACAGACCCATCAGGGCATTCATCAAGCCATGTCAACACCCGATCACCCGATTCCAAGGAAGGGTTAACCCGACCCATAGTCTCAGCCCCAACCCCTAAATTAAGCGGGCCGACCCCAAATACACGCCCGTGGCCCATTTTCTTCTTCAAGTGATCCAAATACTCACTTTCCAACCCATCAAACGAATTGAAAACGCAACCCCAACCCGAAGTGTTTGCAATGATGCAATTCATCACAAACTCCCACTCCGGATCCGATTCCCTGTACAGCCGGAACACAGAAGGAAGATGCTCCTCAGTAAAACTCGGAGACCTCGGTAAATCAGGAAAATTAACCACTGGTAAAGAACGAACGGTGTGCTTGTTGCGATACAGATAATCACAGACGGAGGTTAAAAAAGCCCCGGATGAGAAAAATGCAATCCTGGGGATACCGAGTTGGTGGGCCAGGTGGTGGGTCCACCCAAGGAAGAAATCAGAGAGGATAGCCACAGGGGGTTTAGGGTGGGACTGAAACCACTGGATTATTGGATCGTGAAGCTTACTCAGTGCGTTGATGATCGATACGTTGCCGGAGTTGCCGACGTCTCTGACGTTCTCGACGCCGGCAGGGAGAGAAGGGTGGTGCGGGAAAGGAAGGATCAGGGTTTGGATTGATGCGTGTGTGGAGAGAAGTGGGTTTAGGATTGGGAGGTTTTTGGGTGTGACCAAGATGGTTATGGTTAGGCCATGGAGGGCTAATTGGTGGGTTAGGTCCAGCATAGGTAACATGTGACCTTGAGCTGGGTATGGGAAGACTAGGATGTGGACGCCTTCTCCGGAGTTGGACATTGTTTAGAGAGAGAAAGAGATATAGAAAGAGAGAGAGAGAGGTGGGGCACTGGTGCGTTAGAAAGACCACAGCTGACCACAGCCTCTCCTTTTAAGTTCATGTGTGAATACATATGTCAGCAACATGACATAATTGTTGCTTTGATTATACGTAGTAAATGTATTTTCTCTATATATATATTTTATATTGTAAATTTGTAAGTGTCGAAAATGGATTAATTACACTAAATTATATTACTACCCTGAGTCCTGATATTTGTTTCTTCCGGGGCCAGAAGTTAAAAGTGTCAAAATTCAATAATGCTAATGTATTACACTCCGTAATAATATATTTACGTGGTACTCTACATATTGATAAAATTTGATAGTAAAAAAAAACACATAAAGATGTTGATTTTGTTGGGTACATATAACAAATAAAAATAATAAATATTGAATAATTTATTTGTATATAATTTGTTTAAATTTTTTTAAAACAAAATTTATAATTTAATTAAATTTATCAATCAAATTAATAGATTCACAAAGACCGGTGTTCAAATTTTTTTTCCTTTTTTTTTTTATTGGAAATACCAGGAGAAAGTTTCTCCAGCTACGTGTGAACACAACTACCACACATTTTTCCATATGGAAAGATATTTTCTGTTCCATGAATTTACAGAGAGTGTTACATATTCAAAGTAAGAAGTCACTGTCTCATCGATCTTTTTCTCCCATTTTTTCTTATCTTTAGGAGATATTTTCTTAACCAGATCTCTGAAGATATTTCTTATATTGTCCTCATGAAGAGGTGAATCAATCGCCCCGCAATGTAGGAAGACTATTCCTAGCAATATTCTCCATAAGAAAGTCATTTACGATTTTAAATGGGTGCCCCATCTCTGTCTGTGGAGTATGGACTTAAAATCAGCGTGCCATACCCAACAGCTCACAACACGCACTTATCCAACACATGTTGGCTTTAAGTGGGCCGTGTTGCATTCTGCCTTCTAGGCCCATTTTATGGTTTCTTTTTGGGTCATTTTTTTGGAATGCAGAGGCCCATTTTGTGTTCATTTTGATTGGTGGTGTGTCGAATATTTCTTGGAATGGGCTGATGGCTTCCCTTGTAGTGGGTTATTTGGTTCTCTATGATTGCCGATCAATGGATTTACGTTGGGTTCCTCCCGGTATTTTGGTGATGTGTATTGATGGTGTTTCTCTTTATCCCTTTGCTATCCGTATGGTGCTCCAGGTTCTCCCCTTGAATTGGGTTCCCTCTGTGTGTCGACAAAGGCACGAGGTGGTTAATGCTGTTATCCAGCTTTCCCGGAGTCATGCTCGTACGGGTTGCAATGGTTTTGGATCTTGGGGTACTGTTGGGTTGGGCTTCTATGTTTGGTCTGATGCTCTCTAATGTGGTGGCAGTTCTCGCTTGCCTTCTGGCTGTTGTCAGTAGCATCATTCCATTTTTATATTATCTGGTATCATCCGGTAACAGTTCCAAGGAGTCCTATGGTAGAGCCGATTAGGACGGTTGCGCGCACACATTTATGTATTTGTCTCTGTGCTTGCAGTGTGCTCCTCATGTATTTGTGGCTTTGATGAATATAACTTGTTTCTGTTTCACAAAAAAAAAAAATACATCTCACGCACTTTTGGAAAATGATAAAAAAAAATTGTTGTCTCAGTGGTCATAAAATATTAAAATGGATTGTAATTCTCATTAAAGGGTCGATCAAGAAACAATAAATATAAAGAATTTTCTTACAGCCTTGGATTAAACCTCAGAATTTGGGTGGATTAATTTTAAACTTCTGAAACTGTGCATTTGTGCAATAGTAAGTAACTATTGTATTTTACCAAGGATCTTTTGATATATAAGTGATATCTCTTTTTTCTTTTAAAATGAATTGTGAGAATTCCGATATTAAAATAAACAAAATAGTGTGTGTAGGGTGTGTTTTCCGACCAAATGTTATGGCTCGCCATTGGTCAGGTGTTAACGATTAAAATAAATTATAATTCCAAAAGGATTGATTTATATGACAAATATTATTTAATAACAAAATGATAATTAGTAAAATGAAAAAGCGCAATCCAATAAAGACGCATAACCTATATATTTTCCAAATACAATATATTATATTTCAAACTCCACAAATGTATTTTTTCAATTAACTAAAAAAAATGTAAATAATGAATACTTACAATGCCAAATGGTATATAACAAGTTATCCAAGTATTGATATATCCTAGATCCAAATTATTTTCAACTAATATTTTTTCCTAAATGTTATATATTTATTTCACATATTACACACACACACACACACACACACACACACACACACTATATATATATATATATATATATGCTTTTATATATAAATCAGGAAATTATTCTATACCAAGGGTTCTTTCAAGTTCCCAATGAAAAATAATTATTCTATCAATTGTTCAATTCAATATTAATCAATCACCTTGAATTAATATCGAGATCGAGATAGTTTAGTAAAAATAATCACTTACCACTAAGGTGGATACAATGATTAATTCTAAATTTAAAACATTATAATTACCATTATACTCTAATTTATTTCTTAGGCAGTCACATGAACTTCTTCATCATCGATTCTCGTGTACGTAACTAAATTGATTAAATTACTCATTGATCTAATAGGAGATGGTTTTAGAAGAACTAACCAGAGTTACTCATTAACAGATTTGGAGATGATTTTAGGGAAATGATTTTAGAAGAACTAACCGGAGTTACTCATTAATACATTTGGAGATGATTTTTGGAAGAACTAATTGGAATTACTCATGAATCTAATAGGAGGTGATTTTAGAACAACTAACTAGATTTAAATTAGCATTAGTTCTAAGAGACTCAACATCTGGACAAATAAATAAATAAATAAATAATAGTTCAAATTGTGTTGCTATCTCATCAAGTCCGAGTTAAAATTACTACACAACAATTAATTAATATGAAAAGCTCGAGGACTCCATTGCTGACGTAACCTTCCATTCTATTTCGGATTTTGAGCATCTTTATTTTTTAATTTTCTAGGTCGTTATCCTAGAGTGAGGTAAATAAATAATAGTTCAAATTGTGTTGCTATCTCATCAAGTCCGACTTAAAATTACTACACAACAATTAATTAATATGAAAAGCTCGAGGACTCCATTGCTTACATAACCTTCCATTCTATTTCGGATTTTGAACATCTTTATTTTTGGATTTTCTAGGTTGTTATCCTAGAGTGAGGTAAGGGGTGTAGTATAACCTTAAACTAGTATTTTCTTTGTAACTTGGAGTATACTATATGTGTGAGATATATTTTTGTAATTGGCAGATTTCAGTAACAAAACAAGTCCTAGTCGAGTTGTAATTTCAGTTACCATATCAGACTTGACATCAACTGCGAAATTCAAAGGTTGAACAAAAGAGGAAAGTACTGTTGATCATCGAAAAGGAAAGAACAACGATTAGGACATCGTTTCCCACTTAAGACATATTGATATACATGGTATATTTTCAGAGTTCCAAAAATACAGAAAATCCAAGTTCAGGTTGGATTCTGTCAAGTGGGAACTGGTACCAAGATTTGGGAACCGGTTCCAGAAGCTATACTTCGAGAAAACTCTATGGGAACCGGTACCAAATATGGGAACCAGTTCCACATGTCCTGATTGCAAAAGAAGTCCAGTTTCTTTGTTTTGTTTTATGCCTTTTTCAATCCAACTTTCTTTTCAAGTCCTATGCACGAAATTTCCTTTATTTTCAAAAGGAATAGGACTTTGCAAACCTCTATATAAACCATGTCATATGCATTGGTTTATTCACGGCTTTTAATCATTATTCATATATCATACAAAGCCTTAGGAAGTTTATTCCTCTCAGAAAATCAAAGTTGATTTTTCTGTTGTCTTCTTAGAACATACACATATTCACCTAATTAGGTTAGAGTTGTGGTGTTCGAATCCTGATCGTGATCATACAGTCGTATTAATATCGGTCAGACGAAACAGATCTTCTTCTATATCATTCAGACGATTGAAGAACAAAAGTAAACGCAGTCTCACTTTGAAAGGGTTGGAGCATTCGCGGAGTGCTGTCTAATCTACCTGTTACTCTTCTACAAATATCAAGTGTAAACCTGAGGTCAAGTTGCTGTTGGCCGGGGAGTCGCAAAGCCAGAGGATCGTCAGCGGTTGGTGTGGTATAAAATGATAGGGTGTGAGCCAGAGTCAAAGTTCGGTATACTTTATTTCAAGCATAGTGGATTGGTTTACTTTGGCCTGCACAGTCCACGAGGTTTTTCCCATAACAGTTGACGTATTTTATCAACTAGGGTTTCCTCGCTAAAATCCTGGTGTCATCTCTAATGTGATTAATTGTTTAATTGCTAAAATAAGTAAAGTTAGTAACGACATAGATATGTTTTACAAAACAAACAAAAACTTTCTAAGTATTTTCCGTTGTGTACGACTTACAATTTGGTGTCAAAGTCATTATCTACACATTGAGTTGATCCTTGTTAGAAAGATTAGTTTTGTTTTCAAAAATTGTTTTAATCATGTTTTGTGCGTTGAAAGAAGGCAATTCTAATCAACGTGGTCCTTTATTTGAAGGAGATAATTACAATTTTTATAAATCAAAGATGAGAGCTTATTTGCAAAATTTTGGTAGTAAAACTTAGGCAATAGTTGAATCTGGCTATACACCTCCTACAGTAGTTACAACTGTGGATAGTAAAATAGTCAAAGAGTTAAAAGATACCTTTGCTTTTACTGCTATTGAAACTGAGCGTAATGATGCTAATGGCAAAGCTTTATATTCAATAATTAATTTTGCTATTCCATCTGAATATGCTAGAATTTCTGATTGTAAAACTGCTAAAGAAGTTTGGGATATTTTGCTTGTTACTCATGATGGAACTTCAAAAGTGAAGTTGTCCAAAATTCAGTTATTTTCTTATAAAATTGGGAACATCATGAAGAAAAAAGATGAAACCTTTTCTGATTTTTATTCTAGTCTTCTTGAAATAATTTCTGAACTGCGTCACTTAGGGAAAAAAGTTAGTGA